GGTCTTCTGATTGGTCTTCTGTCGCGGAGGCGGGCTCCGCCTCAGTTGACTGGTTGGCTGGGCTGCGCGCAGGAGCAGAGTGAGACAGAGGGCGGGGCGTCGGGACCCGGAGACTGGGGGTTGAGGGCTGTCCTGGCAGGTGGCTGCGGCGGGAAGATGGCGGAGCTGCGCGCGCTGGTTGCTGTCAAAAGGGTCATCGACTACGCAGTGAAGGTGACCGCTTCCCCCTCTCCCACCTCCCTGAGTCCCGAAGTCGTGTGCTTTCAGGATCAGGAGCGCATTCTGCGTTTGGGTTCTGTAAACTATGACTTTCCCTGTTCTTCCTGAAATGTCAAAATTACTCCTGGGGTCAAAGATCAAAGACTGTGCTGTTCTGACGGCTGATCCCTCTGAGGTCACAGCTCTGTTCCCATTTCCTTAGTTCTGGATTCTTGGTAACTGCAGAGTGAGTTACTTTCTCTATTTCTTACCCGCTGAAGGGAGTGATGGTCCTTCGTTAACACAGAGAAACTGAGGCACAGAGAGGTCACTCAGCTAGGGAAGAGCAGAGCCAAATCTATCCAGCCTCCCATTTCTCAGCTGGACTCGTGCTTTGCACACGAGCTTTCACCCACTAGGCTGCATTTTCTACCAGTTGATCGTTAAAGTATCTGAAATGTGCTCTAATGGGGTCAGACAAGGCTCTGTGGTACCCAGAAACTGTCTTTCACCATCCATAGTCACAGGTTTAGCTGGGAAGGAAAAGAGAAGTGTGTTTGCTAGAAATGAAAGTTCAAGGGGCCAGCTTGACTGAGCTGGAGGAGAGTGGCTCACATTCTCTGTGAAAGAGGTGAGGGGGCAGGGTCTCTGAGAGCCTGGCCTGTCCCCAGAGGAAAACTGGTAGGGACAGAGGTGAATCAGACAAGTGTCTCAGGCCAGTTTCTCTAAAAGCTTGGCCTAAACTGAGATGGTGGTGACTGTCAGCCCATGTCTGTCCTTCCCATCAGCCTGGGCTCTGTGCCCCCCAGCATTGCCAGTATGGGGCCTAGAGTGGGTGAAACTGGCCACAAAGTTGAAAACACTGATATTACCCCTGGGGAAGAGGGTACAGGATATAGACTCGGGCATGAAAATATCAGTGATCGTAACAGCTAACATTTAGTGGGTACCTATTATATGCCAGGTAGCATTCTATGTCCTTCACAGAGATTAACCCATTCAGTCCTTTCGATACCCTCTGTATTATTAATCCCATTGAATAGATAAAGAAACTTAGGCCCATGGAGGTTGTTACTTGCCAGATCTCCCTGCAAGTAAGTGGCAGAGTCAGGACTGAAATTCACCTCATACTAGGCAGCTCCTTACAGGGAGGGCCAGGTCTGCAGATTTTGTTGTGCTTTTCCCAAATTCACTCAGTGTCTGTTCAGCCTAATAATGCCTCTGGCAGCATATGACATGAGTGTTGCCTCCAGCTTCTTGAGGTCCTGGGACATGACTCTCCTAGTTGCCTTCTATCTCTGATTGTTTCTTAGGGTCCCTCATTTGGACTCCTACTGCACCCTGGGCCTCCTTCTGCCCCAGTCCTGGCCTCCTTGGCCTGGAATGTCTGTGCCTTATAAGATCTGTCTTCGACACTAGGCAGGCCCATGTTTGACTTGGGTATGGCCTCAACACAGAGCCTAGCAGTGAACACCTCTAGTGTGTTCAGTAAGAGAAGGAAAGTGGGAATGTGAAGGGACCATTGTATCAGCTCCTGTCCATTCCAGAGGGTTGGTGCTGTCTTCCTCTGCCACAGTGCCCCAGAGCTGCCTGTGTTATATCCTGTTTCACTGGTCATGTCTGTCGATGTCCTTTTGCAAACAAATAAATGATCCAGACATTGCCAGGTGTTTAATCAGCCCTGGGC